TCCCCCCCACCCACTGGTACTGCGCTACCCTAAAAGTACAATGTTAACTGTATCTGCCATGTTTTTAGAAATTTGACCTTAAAAATTTGGACTTGTACAGCATGTCAAGCCTTTTCAATTAATGCAATTCTTTGAACATGTTGATACCGACACTGTATAATCTTACAATTGTGATAGAGCGGATAGATCAGTTGCTTTTTTTTTTTTTTTTTTTTTTTTTTGCTTTCCGACTTCGTGGTCTTAGTAGCTCAAAACTGCCAAAAATGTCAGATAGAACTTTGTATTTCTAAAGTAGCTGTCTCGCGAAGGATTTTAAAAGAAAACTCCTTTACAGCATAATGCCATTCGAATCCTGCTTCTAGCCTCGATAATCTTTCTTTGTATTTTTTTAAATTTCCTCCACTATACCGGTGTCTGTGGCCTAGCGGTTAAGTGCTTCTCTATCCCACACAGGAGATAACAGTTGGATTCCCGAGTGGGGAGAAAATTTGTAGGAAGTATCTCGGTCATTCCACTGGTATGGTGTATCCCTCTCAGCCCGGGTTGGCCCTGACAGGCAGTGACATAAGCGCTCCTTCTAATTGATCGAAATTGTGTCGATGGGGGCGTAAAAGCACTTTCAACTTTAAAAAAGAGTCCTTCATTGCCGCTGAACGTTGAGAGAAGATGTAATTTTCTACAGTAAAATGATAATGGATTTTTAAAAAGATGAATTTAAAAAAAATTACATTTCATTAATCCCTGTGGGGGAAATTTGGGTCTCAATGTCTTTTCCATATCCAACACACTTTCTTTCGTGATTTTGCTGATTCGGGTTAAGTTCTTCCCACAAGTGCGATCATTGTTATATAAAGATTGAACTCGTTACTTTGACAAGGAATGTAAAAGTCATAGTGCTTCATCAAGGTTATGCCAGAGGCAGAAAAAATACATGATTTTTTTAATTATGGGATCTAGCTTCGGAAAAATTTATAGACAAAATTTATAGACAAAATTACTGCAGGACAGTTCCTGGTTAAAGTAAAACAGATCGACAGACAGAAACAACATAGACAAAAAAAAAAGAAAGAAGTAGGACCTATTATACATTTTATTTGAGGCACCCTCCAACCACCGACGAATTGGCGTTTACTGTCACCCTAGGTTAGAACTTTTTTTCCGTAGGACTGTTAGCTGAAGCCTTGCGTCATTTATCACACTATTCTTTTCTCGTGTTCTGCTTCTTAACGTTATCCCACCATAGAACAACGACAATATTATATTTGTGACGAGATAAAAGAACTACTATCAGACCTTTAAGGGGTGAATTCGATTCGAATATTGTGGTGTCAATACACATATAGTTTGAATGTAGATTGTGTTCCCTTCTGCAAATACTGATGACATCATTTGTTTAAAAACAAAGAATATTGTTTTAGCGATGCATTGATCATTGTTACCAACTAGGTCTGTTCTGTTATGTATGCTCCTGTACACTGTATTATAATATTGCTCATGTTTTGTGGTTCAACAAGTGACTTTAGACAGAACAACGAACACACGTTGTAGAAAATATTGATCAAATAAAGTATTCTTGTTTGCTTGAACATTCTTCTTCTTTTTTCATCTTGCTACATCACTCTTTACCGATTTTTTTCTTCTAAACTACTGTGAATGCTGGATAATCACTACAGGCAGTGAAAATAAATTAGCAGCAACAGAATTATGGTTCCTTTTTAAGAGACTGCTGAGAATATCTTAGAAGGAAAAGAAGTCAAAGGAGGAAGTCCTTGAAGTAGAAGCCTGTGTGTGCCGCTCGCTGAAAAAAACAATCAGGGAAAGACAATAAAGGCAGTTTTTTCGACAACTGAACAGACAAAAAGGCCTTGCCCATCTAGCTCTTACTGACAAAATTGAAGGCAAGCGAGGCAGGGGTAGACCCAGAGCAGCTTAATTTGACAGCCTAAACAAAATTAATTGCGAGGAAAGATCAGGATAATGTAGTTTTTATTTTGAGAGAATCCGAGCAAAGAAATGAAGGGAGAATCATGGTCGCTGGCACTTGATTATGATGATGATGATGATGATGATGATGATGATGATGATGTCATTCTTTGTTCTCTTCAGCCCCCCCCCCCCCAACCACACACTCCCAAACACACACACATAAACACACACATAAACACAAACACACACACACACACACACACACACACACACACACACACACACACACACACACACACACACACACACACACACACAATGTTGAGCAATTCTGGTAGATATTAAAAAATAAATTACTTTTTTTCATCTTTCTGAAAATACGTGTTTCTGCACATACGCGGTTAGCGACAGGCATTGTCGACATGATGTTTCTGCTCTTCTTCAGTCCATGCCACTTTGACGGGTCCTTTTCTCTGTCTGTCCTACTCCTCCCCCCCCCCCCCCCACTAAAAAAAGGCTTTCTATTCTCTTTTCGTAAAAATTAAAACCTAAACAGTTCACGCTAATCGCAAATAAAGGACAAAAGTAATTGAATCATGCCTCTAGGTACACAAGCATTGGGGTGAATATCTCTGTTCTCTATAGCGGTTGTCATTTCCCAACCGTCCAGAAAGATGACCTTGTCCCGTATATCCCAGAACACCTCTCGGATGATCGGGAGATAAAACAATGCCTGGACATCCCCGCCCATAGAATGGTTGTCCGTCCACTCCAAGGATATAATGTGAGGCCCGCGGAACACGAAAATGGCCTGTGGATTCCGCGATAAAAGTCTGCGCACCGCTTTCTTCAGGGCTAACAATCGGTTGTGAGCCACGCTAAGATGCGCGCCCACGATGTGCAGGTAATAGTGGACGATGACGACATAACGACCCGAGGAAGGAATGGCGTCCATCTGGAATGGCACCCCTCCATATCTGGCCACCGGCGAAAACGAGGACTTGAGGTATATGTGATATTCATGAGGGTTGAAGATTAACCGGAAATTTAAGTCCTTTCTGTGGCAGACGGTCTTGACAGTCCAGATAGGCACAGCCCCAGAACACGTCACTCCCGTCAACGCTTTGAAGACACCCAGCAGTTGAAGCCCGTTGGAATCTCCGAAAATCCTCACTGTTGTATTCCTCAAACATTTCTGAGCCTCTGCTTTGGTGAACGTTTTAGCTTTACACAACAGTGAGTGCCAGTTGCGGCCAGCGTCGAAGAAACCTGATGGTGCTGTCATAGACCACGTGACCTCCGGACGGGTCTTCCTGCAAGGCTGGCTGACACCTAGTGAGCCTGCAAAGGGAAATTAAAACTTGGAGAATCATCCTCGCCAGCTGATTAGTTAGGCTAATCAGATTTTTTTTAAACTGTAGTGCCTTAATCTGCGGTGTCGGTTGCATTTACTCGTGAAATATTTGGAGTACATTCATTTTTTAGTGCGGAACAAAAGCAAGAAAATAATTATACAATGATGTCGAGCAAAAGAAAACAAAGATACATAGCATAAGTACAGTTTACCAAAAAATAGATAGAGTTTTTTTCCTCTCTCCTGAAAAAAAAAATTCCTGAGCTTTGACTTAGAACGCTTTAACAGCTTGCCGAAGTCACCTTTATTTCATGTTCTGGTAAGCTAATGGATTTCACATCTTTTCCTGTTCTAAAACAATGTTCTTAAGTCTGCTTTCGTCTCCACCTTCTGCCCCGACCCGCTCACCCCTTTTGCCCCCTTCTCTGGGCTCCTGGCTCTTTCTGCAGCCATGTCTACTGCTACTCCTTGGCTCCTTTTTACTGTTGTCTTCCAGCCACACTCCTGATCTTATCGTAGGAAAGATAAACACCTAGCCTTTTTGGACAAGGGCGGAAAATTTCGGAGGTCCCGTGTGCAGGTTGCGCACGTTAAAAGATCCCTTGGTGATCCAAAAATTGATAAGAGTGGGCTTCGGCCGCCACACGGAAAAAATTCAAAATTTCCTACAAGCAGAAAATGTTTAATGTGTCCCGCGCGCTCATATGGCCGTATGCCAAGTTATGTAGTCGCGAGCGCCGTAAAACACTTACCAAAAAAGAATGATAAATAAAAAGACATCGACCGTATTGAGAACTTACCGGTTTTCTGTGTTCTGACATACAAGTCTTGTCGTATCAGGGACTCATTGGGTTGCCTGAAATAGCAAAACGCATCTTTACTTCACCGAGGACACATACTCTGTCTAATCGACAACACTTAGCTGCCCTAGAACGACAAAATTGTATCTGCTCAGTGCCTAATTTTGAGGAATTTGACGTCCAAAATGTTGAGTTGCACAAAATGTCAAACTTTTTCGAATGGGATTCTTTGAATATCTTGATAATGACTCATCCGAACAATTTTACGATTTTGATAGACCAGATAAAGCATTGGGTTTCTGACATCGCGGTTTCAGTAATTCAAACTGGCCAACGGTGACAGATGTGGCTTTGTAATTCTAATGTAGCGACTTGAAGAGGCCATGTTTTAGATCACTTTGAATTTAAAGAAAAGAAGCAGAATTTCCATATTCACACACATTGTTTAATTACGTTGTGTTTACCTGACTGTAAACAGGTTCAGGTCCTCGTCAGTTTTTGGCCATATGAAGTTATTGTTATCACATTTAAGCTTCTTCGCCTGTCTTTCCTTTAAAGACCAAATTACCCATCTATCTTGAATAAAACTCGAGATACTTGCTGTTGAAGGAGGAAGGGGTCACTTGGTGTGAATGGCAAAGTTAACGAGAAAAGGACAGCCAAAATTTGGTGACTTCCAAGCTTGCGAGTACTTAGAAATTGGAAAATTAAAATTTCTCAGACTTTCGATCAGCTATAATTGTTTTGTAAAATAAACATATAAATGTGTTTTAAATGTATGTAAAAGGTGTTGAGCACAAAAAATGGATAAAAATTGTCCAACAAGCAGAAAATTCCGGTATCTTTGATATAATTATTTTAGCGAGCGCCTGATTTCACCACAATGCCACACAAATTAAAATTTATAAGTAGACAGACATCCCCCGGGGCAATGCTACTGACTGGAGTGTCTTTAGACCATTCCCAAAGGGGGGAACATTAACCATGCACAGTAGAATTGTAATTGTAAATGGGTGATTCATCAATGCCATGCTCATAACTGTGCCTGAACTGCAACGGGGAACAGCTGCTTTTTCTTTCCTAATCTTTGCTATCGTCATTTTTCCTCTACTACTTTAGAATGTTTGTTACACTTTTGAGACCCGCTATTTCCGGGGTGCCTTGATAGTCGAAGCACACTTTGTGCTGTTAAAGTTAGAGAGGTGAGCAGAGTAAGCCTGATTCCCTGTAAGGACTTCTCTGTTAACATCCACCCCTGGCGCTCATAATATGCAGCTGAGAGTGCCGTAAAACCTCTTCTGAAACTAAACTGAAAGGCTAGACGGACGGCTTTCTCTCACCTGACTACCTGAGCCAAGAGTGTAGCTTCTGCCGCTGTGGCATTAGTGTTCGCCCACACCGACGTCATAGTTGCAATGCCAGAGAGATCGGAACAAGACAACCTGAAATTGGAAGCAAGGAATTCGTTTTACACCCCAATTATTTTGAAGGTGGACCACTTTAACCCCTCCCCCCCCTTCATACCCACCCGATCCCGTTTAACCCTACAACCCTTTTTACCCCCCCCCCTCCCTCAAGTTGAACAAAAAAAATTAATGAATAAGTAAATTATAATCACCAGAATTGTTTCTTGATACTTAAGACATTGCTGTGACCACATCGGCTACCCAGGAACTACGTACCAAGCCAAGATAATGTCGAATAAAATGAAGTTGTGGAAGGAGGAGGGGGGGGGGGGTTCTAAGGTTTACTTTTATCAATATTATACCTGGAGTCACGTGGTCTTCCGCAGAAAAAAGAAGCGTTGTTCCAGCCCGTGAAGTCACAGAGGCAGGGCCAGCCGATGTTGGGTGTGGAGAAACACAGAGTTGCCTAGGTCATAGGGAAAGACATAGCTTTGAAACCTATTTATTATTAACAAGAAAAGCTTAAAATATTCATTAGAAAATCAAGTACCGTATAGCAAAAAAATGTAATTTTTATAGTTCAGTAATCTTATTGATTTATTTCAATGTTGTAATAACATCAGACGTACTTGTTCTTATTCTCATTGTCAGCGATTGTCTAAATCTAGTTTTAGTAGAGTTTTTACGACGCTCGCAACTGTATAAGGTCACATGAGCGCCAAGCGATTGTCTGACGCTAATTCGAATAAGAAAATTGATACAATGTTTGGAGAATCATTAATCTATCATTTAGTGCATACCCTGTTTGTGTCTTTGGGTCTATTTTTCATGTAAAAGACGGTTTTTCTTCTACTGTCGTCTGTGCTGTAGCGGTTGGACACACAAGGCGTGAATTTGATTCCCGATTGGGGAGCATTAAATTCTATCGAGAATCTCCGTCTGTATACTGGGATAATGTATCCCTCTTGGTCCGGGTTGATCTTGACAGGCAGGGTATACGTGTTCTTCCTCCTACATGGTCTAGAGTGTGTCGATATGGGCGTAAAACACCTACAGATACTATCCAAACACGTTTTCTCTCTTCTCTATGGGGCCTGTTTTTGTTTAGGCTTTTTTTGTTGTTGCTTTGGCATGTGTTTCATGGCGCTAGCAAATGCAAAAGTCATAATACGAGCGCGCGGTACACTTTGAAGATAATATTCAATTTGGTAGAAATTTTTAACTTTGTTTTGGTGGCGGCGGAAGCCTTATCTTATCGATTCTAAGACTACCGAGGGATCTTTGACGTGCGCAACTTGCACAAGAGTCAATGGTGTCTAAGACAGGGGAGCTTTCGCTGTCGTAGGCGAAAGACCAGAGTCTGATTTCCATGTGCAGAGTATTTCTAGCAAGTGTCTCGGTCTTTCAGTTGGGACTCTCAGCGCGGATTGGCATGGACATCGGCCCTTTAGGAGATGGACGTTAAACTCAGAGGTCTAGTCTCATAAATAACTTAATAGTGATGATAGAGGTGTTAAACCCATTCCATTTTGTCCCGACAGGCAGAGTCGAAGCCCACCGTCTAATTGGTGGCTTTTAAGGACAAGCGGGCTAACACGGATTTCGGGGGTTTCCAGAAATCTTGACCGACACCAATGTGTGGACATTACCCTACCTATAGGAAAAGTTTGGTTTCTTTGTTGTGTATGTTTTTTAATAGAGAAAGCTCTCCTTGCCTTTCAAAGAAACTGAACAAGGGGCAAAAACATTATGTTAGATTTTCTCAAAACAGCATTTTTCGGGACAGCCGTCTTGTGCTTAAAAGAGACCAATTATGATCTAGGTTTCGTCAATGAGGACGTGAAAGAGCAACAAGTACTATATTACAGACGGTTCTTTATAGATATATTATCTTCTCGATGTTGTTTAGAACAAATAGGAGCTCACCAAACACACCCACACTGACCTTGAATCAATAAACCTGCTCAAGACTTATTTGTAGCGTGTTAGTAAGTGCTGATATGTTATGTTTTCCCTAGTGCCCTTACGTGTATAGTATAATTAATGTATGGTTGAGAATGTTCTTCTTTGTGTGGTTGAAGTGGTCTTCTTGTTAATAAGAAAAGTTTAATTTTGTATGAATGAAGTACATGTATTGTGCTCAGTGATCACGTTATCGATGTATAACTCTCAGAGCTTATATTCGTATAGAATATATCGCTATATAAATGCAGTATATTATTATTATTATTATTATTATTATTATTATTATTATTATTATTATTATTATCATTATTATTATTATTATTATCATTATCATTTTTTGGAAAACCAAACAGATGCTCACCTCTGATATTTTCCCCTTCTTGAAAGAGCCGGATGTCAACCTGTAGATACCTAGACGTCTCTCCAACACAACACGTCGTTGGTACTCGCGGGGATAGGCCACGCCCACATTCAGCTGTCAAACACAAGTGGGCGTTGTCGCTTAACAAAGTGGGTGAGTGAGTGAGTGAGTGAGGGAGTGAGTGAGTGCGTGAGTGAGTGAGTGATAGAGTGGTGGGAGAGTGAGTGACTTGGTCAGAAAATGAGTGAGTGAGTGAGTTAGTGAGTGAGTGAATGAGTGAGTTAGTGAGTGAGTGAGTGGGAGAGTGAGTGAGTGGGTGAGTGAGTGAGTGAGTGAGTGAGTGGGTGAGTCAGTGAGTGAGTCAGTCAGTCAGTGAGTGAGTCAGTGAGTGAGTGAGTGAGTGAGTGAGTGAGTGAGTGAGTCAGTCAGTCAGTCAGTCAGTTAGTAGGCGCTGATTGAGTGAGTAACTTACTCAGAAAATGAGTGAGTGCGTGAATGAGTGTGTGAGTGAATGATTAATTGAGTGAGAGAGTGACACAATTGTGGGTGGGAGAGAGAGAGGGGGGTGAGGGAGATAGGTGGACGGAAGGAGAGAGAGGATGGAGGATGAGAAAGGGGGGAGGGGAGAAGCGAGAGAGAGGGGGCGAGAGAGGGAACAGCCTACCTTACTGGTAGTGCCAGGCCACAGACACCTGTAGGAGATGACGTAACTTCCGTTATGTAGGTCAGTGACGTCAGCAGCAGCCACCGCCCCCAGCTTGCGTTTCTGCGAATGGCTGTCCACCTGCTCCACCATCCAGCCTCTGACGTCGTCGTGGCCCTGGGTCCTCGCCTTCCCGTACCCGTCCACCAGGTCGGCCCTCACCCTTATGACGTCACCGACCTGGCAGCTGACCACACCCTCTTTCTCCAGCTTCCCGTCCAGGGGTGTGAGTCGGGAAAGATTTAAAGATGGCGCCTCTCGAATGTCCTTCATCTGTGGATGACTTAGCAATGTCTGCTCAAACTGGTAGACATACTGATGGTCCGCGAACAGAGGGACGAAGGGCTTCTCTCGAGCTACGTAGGCGTTCAGGGCTCGTAGGGGGGCCACTCCAGGCCAACTGCACGTGCCGTTCTTAAGTCCAGACGGACAGAAAGAGCTTCGGAATGTTTTGCTGGCTGATGGACATGAGTCCCGTGATTTCTCCTCAAACGCCTTGAGAATGTCGAAGAACGAGATTTGTTCTGTGGGACCCCCGACTAGTGGTGGAGGGGAACAGAGGTGATAAATGGTTTGTTCGTGAGTAGTATATCTAGATCTACATAGATAAAAATAAATTACGATTTTATTGATTCCTGTTTTGAAATTTGTGTTACAATGGCAAACATACATACGTAAGTACATAATAAGAATTACATACAAACATAAATACATACATCTTTAATATATGCATACTACATAAATACGCAAGATTACACCAATACAGAACTATTTCACAAACATGCCTGTGCTGGTCGCCATTGTGTAATGCTCTGTTTTTGTCGGTTTGTTTTGTTTTTGTTTGATTTAGGGGGGGGGTGTTTGTTTAGGGGGGTTGGGGGGAGGTATTTTGTTTTTTTGGCTGGGTTTCTTTTTGGCTAGGGTTTTCCGGTCTTGCTCAAGGACACACCCTAGTGCCCCATGCAATCTTCATATCACCAACACTTGCTTGACATTAGTTTTGAGTCTGAACTCACTTCTCGCTTAGCAATTAGAGCCCCAACCCATGTTTGGGTAGGTTTGATAATGATATAAATAGCTATAGCTTGACATTCACTTTCGTCTGTTTATGTTTTTAAAAAATCCAAGCCCTTATATTAATTTACTAATCGACGCAACAAAAATATCTAAACATCTTTTAAAAAATTAAAAATCTTGATCCAATAATTTTAAAGTTTCTCTGTTTGGGCCCGATATTAAAGACTGCTTTTTGGGTGCTTGCACAGGATCACTAAAATAAATGATTTACAATAACCTAGCCTACAAATTGTTCATTTTGAAATATCCACACCACCCTGCCTCTTTATTTAAGAAAAAGCTTGTTGATTTCATCCAAAGGCCTTCTTGACGTCTCCACGAGAGTCTCGTAAAATATTGACCCCAGTCAAAGGATCATCCTTTTTAGAGAAACGTTACAGTGTGATGTTGATCAAAATAGCTCAATTGTTTAATGGTTTAAAGAAAGCTATAAATCCCCTATTGTATTTTGACCCACTTTAGGCTGACATCAAAGAAAACCTGTCAGAACCTCAGTTAGCAGTGACCTTTATGAATGGGCTTTTAGATTCTGTTGATTGATCATCCAACTTTTAGACCCGTATGCAAAGATTTAAGAAGATGAAACTGAGCGATTTGATTTTACCTCATTTAGACTACGGTCAGACGACATTGAACAAGCTACTGCTGCCTGCGTGCACTCACAAGAAACTAACGTGAATCATGCTGACACGATGTCGAGTTACTTCTAGCAACCCACCAAAGGTCGCTTTTAAGGACACGCGGGCTAACGCAGACTTCGGGGGTTTCAAGAAATCTTGACCAGCACCAAAGTGGACATTGCCCCACCAATAGGAGAAGTTTGGTTTCTTTGGTGTGTATATTATTTGTTTGGTTATAGAGAAAACTCTCCTTGTCTTTTAAAGAAACTGAACAAGGGGCAAAAACTTTACCTTCGATTTTCTCAAAACAACATTTTTCGGGATAGCCCCCTTGTGCTTAAAAGCGACCAAATGGAGATGTCAGCTGAAAATAGACACATCTGATTTATAGACTTTAAACTGAGGCCATTTTCTTCAAGATAAACGTATCCTTAATCATTTTATATTTGTTAAATTGTACTAATCCCACCTTTGAATAATTTCATACATCTAACTGTGTCCAAAGGGTTGAAATTCTAGAATTCGCTCAATTTATTTTGTCCGTGTGTGTGGTTGAGTGCGTGTGTTCGTGTATGTGTGTGTGTGTGTGTGTGTGTGTGTGTGTGTGTGTGTGTGTGTGTGTGTGTGTGTGCGTGTGTGTGTGTGTGTGTGTGTGTGTGTGTGTATGCGTGCGCGCGCGTGTGTGTGTGTGTGTGTGTGTGTGTGTGTATTTTTGAGTGTGTTTCCATATCGCAGCAAAATGCTCTTTGTGTATATCAATAATTCTTTATTTCATTTCATTCCAACTCACCTCACCTCATCTCATCTCCTCTCCTCTAATCTTATCCCATCTTATCTTATCTTATCTTATCTCATACCGTTCACAGCTGCTCTCGCTGGGGGCGGTGGCTGTAGCAAGGCCGGGCTAAGCATCTCGTGCACAATTTCAAAAGGGACCCTGAGAAAACACAGAGAAGTAGGTGGTTTTGGTGAGGTTTTACGGCGCTCACAGCTGCATAAATGTCATATAAGCGCGTGGGACACTGTAAACATTTTCAGTTTCATTGGGAATTTTGAATCTTGCCAGAGTGGCAGCAGAAGTCTACTCTTATCGATTTTGAACCCCCCAAAGAATCTGTAATAATATGCTCAACTTGCTCACGGGACCTTCGAGATTTTTCGCCGCCCCTGTCCCAGAAGGCTAGGTGTTAGATCTTCCCTACCATAAGACCAGATATGCACTGGCAAAATCAGTGGAAAGACCCTCGGTGACATATTGGAGAGAGCAACGGAACATCAGTGGACAATGAACAATACCATAAGACTAGGAGTGTGGCTAAAAGAAAACAGTAAGAAGGAACCAAAGAGTAGCAGTAGAAAGGCTGCTGAAAGAGTCAGGAGACCAGAGGGGGAAAAGATAGATGGGGAGGGGGCAGAAAGTAAAAACGAAAGCAGACGACAGAACATTTTTAGAGAGCAGCAGGAAATGAGGTGAAAGGAGACAATTTTAGAGAAGAAAATTGTCCTTCCTTATCCGGATTCGAACCCGTGACCTATTGAGTGAGAGGCAAACACCGTAACCTCGACCACGAGAGGCCCCCTGCCGGTGGTTCAAAGGCGACATCTGTTTTAAGCCGTGCACATTAGTTGGATCGGATCGAATCGGTTCTGTTCGGTACCGTTGGGTCGGTTTGGTCGCCAGGGGCAACCAGATTTTCCTTCGTGGGAGGGGGAAAAGGTGCCATCGCGGCACAAACTGACAGAACCGAAGATGACCTTCAAAAACAAACGAGTTTGTTTTCAAGGCGGAGCGTCGGGTTATCGGTTTGGGTAGGGGTCTATTCATTGTGTGCACCAGAAACCGAAACGAACAGAGCCGAACCGACCCTCCAATCGTGTGCACCGCCATTTAATCTTAATTCCGTTCTTTCTCCTCTGTTATCATTTCTGTCAGTCTACCTGACCTTTCCAAAGCACTAAAAAAGAAAAAACAACAACATAATGATTACACGAGAAACCAAACACACAGTTTTATTACACCATTGTAAAATTACTCTCTAATAATGCCATGATACTGCCAAATGGATGGTGCTTTTTTTTTTTTTTTTATGATACATATTATGGATTTACAAATCAATTTTAAAGGCACATAGTGTTACATACTCGTGCACACACATATTCACGCACGCACGCACCATACACACATACACACATACATACACACATACATACATATGCTATATAAGTGATGTTATTAAAGTTTAGGTGACACAAACAGATAGATATTTTTTAATGCTCCATATTTTCTTCAGTTGGAGATAACGATTTTTACAAAGATTGGATACATGGGATTTCATTGACATATTATCTTGATCTAGCACCACACCTACATTTTTTATTTTAGTTTGGGCTTATATTTCGTGGCCATTGATGTTTATTCTGATATTGTCGATTTCATTGCATGCTCGGCTAGAGCATAGGGCATTGCATAAGTGGATATGCGCTATATAAATGCAATCCATTATTATTTAGATAGCTGGCTTTCCCGTTCGATGAACGGCCTCAAAAGAATCGATTGTCAAGTCATTGTGGGATCAGTGCACACACTCGTTGTTAACGAAAACCGCACGTGTTTACAATGGCGTCTGACTCTTAGAACACAGACTTTGCCAAGATTAGATCTAAACGAAACTAATGGAAAACAGAAAATTAAATAACAGTGACTTCAGACTCCTCAGTAAAACTATGCACACTTTGAATGATTCTGAACCACGATTAATTGTGTCAAATTCGAAAGTTAAGTTGTTCGGAAGCTTTAGGCTGCGAAAGTGATGGACTTTTACAATATAATATTAGATAAATTTATAACGAAGTCATATGTTCTTTTTTAAAGTGCCACAGCACGTACATGCAAACGCTGTTGAATTGAAACAATGCCCGATAAAACTGTCCCCGTGGATTTATGCACCCCGCATAATTTAGCAAAATGTGCTCATTTTTTGCACAATTTCTAATTATTTTCCTTTATCATTCTTTGTTAAAATTAACATAATCGCATAATTTCACATTTTTTAGCTCAGTTTGCATAATTTCGGAATTTTGCTGGCATAAAACGACCGGGACTGATAAAGGTGTAGTGGACACGTCATGACCTGATCGCCATCAGACCAAAAAGGGGTGTGTGTGTGTGGGGGGGGGGGGGGGGGT